GTCTCAGGTTACGTATGTAACCATGGTTCCCTGAGTAGGGAACGAGACACTGCGTCCTCTAGGTTTCTTGCCATGCTTCGGACGCAAGCTTCAGATGAAGAGGTGGATGGTGTGTTCTCCCGGTTCCTATTTATACTATAGTCACACCGGTAGTGACGTCATGGCTGTTGCCGGCCAATGTGTTGTTGGTGTTTTTTCAATGTATGCTTCAGGCACGGGTCACGACGAGGCGTTCCTCATAACAACCCCTAGAGGACGCAGTGTCTCGTTCCCTACTCAGGGAACCATGGTTACATACGTAACCTGAGACATTTGTCTCATCTGACCAAAGGACAAGTGACCAAAGGACACGTTTGTCCAGGTTGTCCTTCAAACTTCAGTCTAGCTTGGAGGTTTTTTTGGTCAGGTTTTTTTTTTGGTTGATAATACTTCTCACGGCAGTTCTTGCCACTTGAAAATGCTTTTATAAATGTGTATATGCTTCTCCTGCTTTGTGAGCATTAAACAATTATTTTTCTTAAGTCTAAACTAATTTATTTTGTCTTTGCCATGATGACAGTACATATTATTTTACTAGTTGTTTTTCAAGATACTAATCCTCAGTTTATAGTGCAATTTAAAGGCTTAGAGGATTATTTAGGTTAATTAGGCAAGTCATTGGACAACAGTGGTTTGTTCTGTAGCCAATCAAACAGATCATTTCTTATGGGGGCTAATAATATTGACCTTAGCAGTTTTTTTATTTCAGGCAAACTGAAATAAAAAAGGCTTTCTCCAGATGAAAAATATAATAAGAAATGCTGTCTTAAAATTCCCTTGCTCTGTTAAACATCACTTGGGAAATATCTGAAAAAGAATTGAAATTTCATAGGGGGGCTAATAATTTTGTCTTTAACTGTATATATACACACACAAACACACACACAAAAGTTTGAAAACATTCTGATTTTTACTTCTTTTTTTCCAAGTCTCTCATGGACATAAAGGCTGCATTATGTGCTCAAAAATACAGTAAAAACACTATAAAACAGAATTACAATTTAAAATAAATAAAGTTTTCTATATGAATATATTTTGTAATGTAATTTATTCCGGTGATGCAAAGTTGAATTTTCAGCATCATTACTCCAGTCTTCAGTGTCACATGAACCTTTATAAAACCATTATATACTACCATTCAAATGTTTGTGGCGTGTGTGTGTGTGTGCACGCGTGTGCGTGTGTGTTTAATAGAAATTTATTTTATTCAGCAAATATGCATTAAATTGATCAAAAGTATCAGTAAAACCATTTATAATGTTGCAAAGGATTCCATTTCACATGAATACCATTCTTTTGAGCTTTTCTATTCAAAGAATCATGAAAAAAGTTTCCACAAAATATTAAACAGCAAAAACAGTTTTTAACATTGATATTAATAAGAACCATTACTAATAACTGAGCACCAATAATAACTAAGCAAATCAGCATATAATGATTTCTTAAAGATCATGTAACATTGAGGACTGGAGTAATGACTGCTAAAAATTCAGCTTTACATCACAGGAATAAATTATATTTTAAAATATATTACAATAGAAAACAGTTGTTTTAAACTGTAATACTATTTCACAATATTAGTGTTTTTACTTTATTTATTTTTTAACTTGTGAGCATAAGATACCTTATTAAAACATTTAAAAATCATAATGTTTCCAAACGTTTGTAATTTATATTAACCTTAATTGAATATTAAGGGTGGGAAGTGGGCTTAATGGACAGAAAACTTAACGGATTATTAAGGATGGGGGAAAACCCCTTTTAAAATCATTTTAAAGGTTGCTCAGAAAAAGTTTCTTTTGAGAAAATCTCCAGCATCATTTTATAGATTCTACTTAGTTTGATATTTTATATCTAATTGAATAAAATTCAGACATAAAGTGTGGTTTATGTGTCCAAAAACTTTTTATATTATCAACGTAATCTCATGAGTATTATTAGGTATTTTACGTCAAATCTGGTTCTGCCACACGCACATTTACTTTACGTTTGCATAAACTATTCCACCAAATTGCGCATTGCCCTTTCTCCCATTCATAAGTAATATGAGTGCATCGTCTTTGTATAACTAAAGTATTTTGAAATGGCCATAGCCTTTTAAAGTATACTCCATTGATAGCATGCACAAACGCAGGTGTTTGACACGTGCACTAGCAGGTGTCATCCTTGTCCAGTGTCTGTTTAGGTGACCAGATTTCTGAAATGGAAAACGGTGACATTTCCTTGTTCAGCTTTCAAAATATAATTGAAATCTCAGTTATGACTATCTATGAATTTAAAAAAAGGGGGACAATATATTTTTGTATGTTTTTGTTTTTTATTGTTGTGGCCTACTATATTATAATGATGTTTGCAGATCAAACGTACCCTAGTTTTAATACAATTCACCAAAAATCCCACTGCACCATAGTAAATGGTAATTATTACAAATAAACAAAACTGTATTTACCAAATATTTTTAACATTTTCTATATTTAACTTTTGGAAATGGATCCTAAGTAGGCTTATTATTTTGCATTTTAGGCTCTTTTTTAGTACAAAGTATATACTTTTTTGCAAATGTAATTGTGCAAGTGTAATTATTTAATTAATTTATTATTTATTAATTTATTCATTATTTATTATATTCAGAACTAATTTCTATATATAGTTTATTAAAAATATTATGTACAGACAAGCAGACGAGCCTAAGACGCAGTGTGTTGAAATGACCAATGAAATCTGACAACAACTGTATCATAAATGTTGTTTATTTTGCTCAAATAGCGTAAAAAAAGCTTATTTCTCAGGCTAGACAAGCCAATGTGCATGCGCAGTCCTAGGCACACGTCTCAGAGCACTGACTGTTTCTATAGCAACCGGGACTTCTAACGCAGCTGCAGTGACGCGCTGACTTTACAGATTAGGGATTGGCTCTTTTGCTTAGAAGGCGGGGCTTTGTTCAATAGAGTGGCCATATTGAGTGTTGCATTTTCCCCCATTCATAACTATATGAGTGACACGTCTTGGGTATTCTATAGTCTTTGGTTAGAGCTGCAAGGCCGGGACGTCTAGATTATAGATTCTGGCAAATGTGGATGGTGACGACCAGCCGGCAGCCGCACAGATCTCACCAATACAGATCCCACTGGACCACGCCCAGGAGGAGGCCCTTCCTCTGGTGGAGTGGGCCCTCACACCTATGGGGCATTGCAAGCCTTCCAAGGTGTAAACCAAGGTTATGGCATCAACTATCCAGCGAGAAAGTCTCTGCTTTGTAACTGGCAGCCCTTTAGAGTGACCTCCAAAGCAAACAAAAAGCTGCTCCGACTGTCTGAACAGGCTGGAGCGCTCAAAATACACTCTCAAAGCCTTTAGAGGGCAAAGCACGTTTGGGACCCTGCTCGCCGTCCGCGACGGGGAGGGCCAAAAGGGTGATAATCTGGGCTCTGAACGGAGTTGAGAGCACCTTAGGGACATAACTGGGAGTTTTCTGAGAGCTACCATGTGACCACTGCATCTCACACGGAACCAGAGAAAAATGGCAGCGCTTTCAAAGAAAGCTATTACTGCTCTAAAAAAGGGGAACATAGATACATATAGATTCTATAATGTACTATAATATAAAAACATTATGTAAGTGTTCATACTGTTATTATTTTGTTCAACAAACAAACAGTAAGTAATTATTTTTACCTGACATGCTTTCTGTGTTCTGCAATATTTAGCAGTAGCACAAATGTAATGTAATGTTGTAATTATGTGTTTGACAGCTGCCAGTAACATAACATTCTTTCACGCGGGTTCATTTTGTTGACTGTCGCTTTAGAAATGGATAATCCCCAGTCTGAGGACGTGAACAGCACCGAGTTGAACATCACGTGTTGTCATCTCGGAATTATGGTAATTACGATATGGCGTGAACGCAGCATAAATCTATGGTTCACAAGTTGTAATTATGAGTTCTACGAGGACGTGAACGCTTTATACAAGTTGGTATCTCACAATTATGGTAATTAGGATATGGCGTGAACGCACCATCAATATGGCCGCTCTATCGAAGGAAGCCCCACCTTCTAAGTAAAAGAGCCAATTGCTAATTGGTAAAGTCAATAGGCTTGTTCGACTTCATGCAGTGCCGCAACGTGTCAGCTGCCGCCTGACAAAAGCAATGCATTCTGGTTAGAAAATGTGTCCGACTTTGATCGATGCTGTAGCCGCCTTATGATCACGTGCCATCAAAGTACCGCGAGAGAAAAAACGAGACCAGCCGCCGAGGTCTGAAACGTCTGTGTATTTGACAAATATTGCATTTATTTCACTTCCTCTGATAGAGTATGCAAACACTATGCGAACGTCCCGACTTGGCGTCTCCACTTTTAATTCCGCCCGACAGCAAGCAGCTACTCTCGCCAGCCAGTGGCATACTAGTGTAGTTCATCTCGAGCAAGCCTATTGCGTCGCAGCAGCTGCAGAGTTCCCAGTTGCTGTAGAAACAGTCAGCGTTCAGAGACATGCACTTAGGACTGCGCATGCGCGCTGGCTGGTCTAGCCTAAAGAGCTTTTTTTAACACTATTTGAGCAAAAGAAACAACATTTATGTTTTGTATGTTTTGTAACAATTTATGTATTTATTGTCAGATTTCATTGGTGATTTCAAATATGAAATTTAATCTTGGTGAACCGTTTTGGAGAATTTGATGTTTCTCCATTCAAAGAGATAGGAGCTGCACTTGCATGCCTGAGATGGTGTTTCAAAGATGAACGCTGAGTGAAATTACTTGCCTTAAAGGGACTTTGGTTTAATTGCACGTTAAACATTTTTCTCCCATAGAAAATCATTATAAATAAAACATGTAACGTAGCTTAATGGATGGAGACAGTGACACTAGTTATGTTTTAATGAGTAGCAGCCTATACTGAGTTTGGTGCTTTATAATCATCGTTATGTGGCATAAAGCATTTTGCGGTATGGGAGGAAAACACTATACATACACATATAGTACATTTTATTATAAACTGTATATCGAATTTGGTCCTTTAATCTTATGCATTAAGCCATATTACATGTTAATGCTTTTCTATACAGGAGGAAAATGCTTTACGAGAGACTTAGCGCACTGCTTTACTATTGTGCTGTTCTGTGGACACGGATTTGCAGGTCTTTCTTTCCTACATGTAATTTACAGGACCCTGTACATAATTAAGTTTTAATCATTTAACCACCAGCCACAGCGTCTTGTGTCCATTGCCAACACGCATGATTTGTGTCGATTGCAAGTGACACTGTAATTTTGTTTCTTTTTTCCCCCTTGTCTTTACCATCTGGCTACTGTTGTAACATGTTGAGAGATTCAATAAAAAAAAAATTGACACTTGTGGAAATGCAGTTGACAGTGCATGCATGTGTATGTCTGCAGCCATGCTCTATTGGGTGCTATCTCTCCAGAAATTATGACCGATTAACAAAAACATCAGTTTGTACTCATTTAATCTAGGACTCTCTTAACTCCTAACACACCACTTGTCAACGTGAGTGTCTGTTGTTGTTGTTCTGTCTTTACTTTTTCTTTTTCTGTCTGGGCCAGTGTTGCCACTTTGTGGATCGCATATATACACATACACTGAGCTTACCCATTGTTCTTTGGTTTTCATGAGCAAAAATATATTTCCTGACTTTAAGTGATTTGAATAATTTATCATTAGTGTATGGCTGATTTTATGGGTTACTGAGGTTAAGGGTTTAAAGCTTGGGGTTAGAGGTCATGAATGGTCATTAAAAAAATTGACCTGGGCTGGGGAGCAGGTCGGATACTTGGCAAGACATCCCAGCTGGACGTTAAGCTGTCATGTGACGAAGAGAAACAATCACAAACAAACATGATCAAAGAATGGTATGATTAAGAAGAAAATATATACACAATTACATACAGTACAAGACAATCTACATTGTAATAATTAAGTTGAGTCAGTTTTCTAATTCATGAATTCCAAATCAGATTTTTATTTATTTTATTATTTATTTTTTTATTTCACCACAGAGTTAGCAGAAATCGTTAATATTGGGCAGTTATCTTTTTGCCATTGTTTAATTGATTTAGTTACAAATCATTTTTCTAATAACTACAAATGCATTAGGCAGAATGTGTACAAATGGAGTGTAAACTGTATTTGGGCATATTGTTCTCTGTCGATTATTTTAACTTAGCTTTTTTTTATAAGAAGCCTGTAATTTGTGTAGTTTTTATTATGTATTGCTTAATTCTTTTACATTACTGATGTAATTATTTGTGTTTATATTTATTTATTCCCAATTGCCCCCTACAAGACAAGACATGGCAAGACAATGTTCTTCAGTATTGTATTTTTCAAGAAGACAATATTCTTGCCAGCTTGCATTAGAAAACACTCCGGTTACTGACGTAACCTTGGTTCCCTGAAATAAGGGAACGAGCATTGTGTATGTGGGAAAACTCCTGTTTTACTCTGTACTGAAGCCTGATTTGCTCACATTTGTGTAGCTGCACAAAGCAATGGCGCTTTAGCCCGCCAGAGGGGGCGGAGCTGACCTCTATATAAGTTGGCTCGCAGCGCCATTTGATCAGAATCATTCGACTGAAGCCACAGTCATCGATTCGTGTGCAGATTATAGCACGGCCAGTGACAGCGCTCGTTCCCTTATTTCAGGAAACCGAGGTTATGTCAGTACGTCAGAGCATTCCCTTTCAAACTTTCTCTCACGTTGTGTATGGGGAATGCATCCAATTACGCCGTGCTATGGGCAGATACAGAACGACCTGCTCTGCGAGCTCAGTCTTGGAGCACTTAGTTAAGGGCCCCTGAAGAACATGAGCTAACTAAGCCCCAAGCACAGCTGAGGGATATCAACACAACCATTTCCACCCTTAGGAACAAATAGGCAGATTAAGCAGACAAAACCCACGCCTGCAAGGCCGGGACGTCTAGATTATAGATTCTGGCAAATGGGGATGGTGACGACCAGCCGGCAGCCGCACAGATCTCACCAATAGAGATCCCACTGGACCACGCCCAGGAGGAGGCCATTCCTCTGGTGGAGTGGGCCCTCACACCTATGGGGCATTGCAAGCCTTCCGAGGCATATGCCAAGGTTATGGCATCAACTATCCAGCGAGAAAGTCTCTGCTTTGTAACTGGCAGCCCTTTAGAGCGACCTCCAAAGCAAACAAAAAGCTGCTCCGACTGTCTGAACAGGCTGGAGCGCTCAAAATACACTCTCAAAGCCTTTACAGGGCAAAGCACATTTGGGACCCTGCTCGCCGTCCGTGACAGGGAGGGCCAAAAGGGTGATCATCTGGGCTCTGAACGGAGTCGAGAGCACCTTAGGGACATAACCATGTCTAGGCTTGATGATGACTTTACAGTCGTTGGGCCCAAACTCAAGACAGGAAGCACTGACCAATAGTGCTTGTAAGTCACCCACTCGCTTGACCGACACTAATGCTAACAGTAGGGCGGTTTTAAACGACAAAGGCCGCACCTCGGCCGAATGGAGTGGGTCGAAGGGAGGGCCTTGCAGATCCCTCAGGACTACAGCCCTTCAAGAACTTAACGATCAGATCGTGTCTGCCGATCGATTGGCCAGCTTCGAGGGAATGACTCGCTGCGATAGCTGCCACATAAACTTTGAGTGTGGAAGGGGTGTGCCCATTGTCCAACAACTCTTGTAAGAAGGTAAGCACGTGGAACACGTCACAAGAGACCGGATCCAGACTTCGTGCGGAACAGTCACGGAAGACTGACCATTTAAAGGCATAAATGTATCTAGTAAATGTCGCTCTAGTCTTCAAAATGTTGTTGCTTTCTCTCTTTGGGAGCTGCATAGGCTCCTGTTGAGGCTTCGAACATGAAGGCTCCACAACTCCCATCGGGGATGCCAGATCAAGACATTCGCCTGTGAGAGAAGGTCTTTCCTCAGTGGTATCGGCCACGGGGCTGCTACTGAGAGCTGCACTAACTCAGGGAACCAGGCTTGGTTCCTCCAGAGTGGGGCCACCAAGAGGACTGAGCATTTGGTCTCCCTGACCCGCTTGATGACCTGAGGAAGCAGGGCTATTGGCGGGAAGGCATACAGGTGAGCACTGGGCCAATCATGGGCCAGAGCGTCTTGCTGCATTGAGAAATAAGTTGGACAGTGAGAGTTGTCTTCTGAGGTGAAGAGGTCTACCTCTGCCCTCCCAAAGACAGATCAGATTCTCTGAACCGTTTGAGGATTGAAGTCCATTCTCCCGGAGCTACATTGCTTCTGGACAGCATGTCTGCACTGAGGTTCAAACTGCCTGGCACATGAACTGCTCTTAGTGAGAGGAGTTCGTTCTGTGCCCACAATAGGAGGCGTCGATCCATCCTGTAAAGAGGACGAGACCTGAGACCGCCTTGGTGGTTTATGTAGTCTACCACCGTCGTGTTGCCAGGACATGGTGCCCCCTTATGGCTGTCAGGGCCAGGAAATCAGCCAACAACTCTGGGCAGTTGATATGCAGGCATCGCTCCGGGGCTGACCAGGAGCCGGACGCCGGATTGCCCTCCAACAGAGTGCCCCAACCTGAGTTGGAGGCGTCTGTGGTGACCACCTTCCTCCTGGAGGTCAGTCTCAACTGTACACCTGCTTGAAACGGGCGAGGAGTTGTCCATGGGACCATAGTCTTGACACAGCGGTGGTTTACCCTGATGTAAAACTGGCCCAGGCACCACGTGTGGGACAGGACTCAGGCTTTGAACCAATATTGGAGGGGCCGCATATGAAGCAATCCCAGAGTAATCACAGAGAAGGCCGCCACCATGAGGCCTAGCAACCTCTGAAAAACCTTGAGAGGACGGGAAGTCCCCGATTTGAGGGAAGCTGCCTGTCGTTGAATAGTCAGGGACCGCTCCGGCGTTATCCAAGCCTGCATCTGGGCAGAGTCTATAATTGTGCCCAGAAAGACAGCTCACTGTCTGGGTAACAGTTGACTCTACTGAAAGTTGATCTGCAACCCGAGTCGCTCTAAGTGGCTGAGTAACAGCACTCTGTGAGCGACTAATCCTGGCCAGTACCAGCCAGTCGTCAAGGTCGTATGAAGTCTTATATAATTCGGATTCTTATCTGCCTCAAAGGGGAAAGAGCCATGTCTATGCACTTTGTAAAAGTGCGAGAGGCCAGAGACAGTCCAAACGGTAGGACCACATACTCATAGGCCACTCCTTCAAACACGTATGCAGGACGTGACCCGCTGGCCAGCTGCTGCATATGCCCTGTTGGCTAAGGCCAAGGTGATCCTGCAGGGCTTGGAAGGATGCGTTGCATGGTCTTTTAACCCCTGAGCAGATGGAGGACACAAGTAGGCAGTTACCATCTCCTCCAGAGGGGGGAGCTTGCTGTAGCCCCTCTCTTCAGTGCTGTCAACAGTGGTGAGAGCCACTGTAGTGGAGGGATTAACTCGGACAAAATAGGGGACTCGCCGCTTCTTGGTGAGTTCCTTGTGAACCGCAGGCAAGAACGGGGCGGGCCGTTGGCAAGAGGATTGCTGATGGCATCCCAGAAGGAACCACTCGTCCAATAGGCCATGGGCAGGTTCATCTGGAACCGACCACTCCAAGCCAAGATCCTCCACCGCCTTAAAGTGAACGCGGTCAGCTCGCTGTCCGGTTTCGGCCATGCTGGATGAGAGGGAGGAAGGGCTTTGGGCTCTTCCCCAGAACATCCCCATTCCTCGGCGTCAGACGCTGTCAAAGACATGATATCATCAACGGCAATCTCATTGACAGCAGTCTCTTCCTCAGAGACACCAAAGGAAATCAAACAGCATAAGAGGGGCGTTGATCTTCCTGCGTGAAGCACACCGGCGGGACGAGGCAAAGCAGGCAGGGAGGAGCACACGGGCACTGAGCCGACGTGAGACTGCTCGATTCTGCTGCTTAGCTTTTTCTTCCTGTTAGGAGAGAAAGGAAACAGGAGAGCAGAACAGGAAGGACTTTCTTTAAAGAAGGCGATCCGCGAGCGGAGACAGGCAGCACTCATGTTCTCGCAGTGAGAACACGAGCCTTCAATGAGTGCAGCCTCTGCATGGGCGCTGCCCAGGCAGCCAACACACTCGCTGTGCCCATCAGCCACACTCGCGGTGCGACATTTGCAACAACGCGCGCTGGAAATTTGCTCAGAAAAGGTGCCAGATGGCTGCAGGGGAAAGCTGGTATTCCTCTGCCAGGGGCTCTTCAACGGCGGTAGCGAGCAGAGCTGAGCTTCCTCTGCAGAGTCAGCGAAGAGATTATCCTTGTCGCTGAAGGACAAGATTCTGATGAAATGGTGCTGCAAGCCGACATATATAGAGGTCGCCGCCGCCCCTTCTGGCGGGCTACACAAACGTGAACAAATCAGGCTTCAGTACAGAGTAAAACAGGAGTTTTCCCCCATACACAACTTGAGAGAACGTTTGAAAAGGAACAGCACTATTGCTTTTTAGTGACTTCCCCCCAAATTAAAAAAAGGAAGTCAAAAAGAAGAAAATTATTTGAGGAATTACACACACATACAGATAACGCATTCTTGGCAAGTTTTGAACTGCACAAATGATTGTGTGTATAACAGTGCATGTACAAAAGCTATTGAAGACCATTACATACCATCTCCAGCCAGCTTTTTAAGACACATGAAAGATGTTTGGATTGTTAACATTCTTACCGAATAGTTTTCACAATAAAGCAGATGATAACAGCCAAGCCTATACACCCACACAGAGATCCGATCACAATAGCTGCGATTTCACCTTAGACAGAGACAAGATGTTAAATTTCTCAAGAGAACTGTAATAATTGAGCAAAAATTAAGCATAAAGATCTCTTCTTAGAGAACTGATTTAAAAAAATAACAGTAAAGACAGCAGTTTAATAATTAGTGCTGTCAATCAATTAAAAATATTTACTAATTCATTGCACATTTTTTCTTAAATTAATCGTGATTAATCTCACCTAACATTAAAGTTTTTAAATATACTTTTATATTGCAATAATTTCACATTCAATCTACAAATTAATGTAGAAACAACAAAAAACAGTATATTTTTAATATTTCTTTACATACACAACTTGAGAGAACGTTTGAAAAGGAACAGCACTATTGCTTTTTAGTGACTTCCCCCCAAATTTGAACTGTGAACTGAATTTAATTTTAAATCTTGATTATTGAAAATGAAGATGACTTCAACTGGACAGGATTTTCTTGTGTGATAAACAATTATCAGGCTGTATATTTGTTTTTTGGAGTTGTTTTATTTTATTTTAAAAAATGTCTATAAAGAAATGCTGCTTTATTTTTATGTGCCAGATTCTGCTTGTTGTTCTGAATATATATAACAAATTAATGTAGAAACAACAAAAAACAGTATATTTTTAATATTTCTTTAATGCCGTTGTTTTGTATGACTGAAGGCTAGTATCACTGATACCTATACTACTGATGACTCTATGAAATTGTTATTTTTTCCCTAATATTTAACCATTGACTATAGCCATTCAACATTACAGCATAATTAAAAGCTATCAATTTTAACATTTATTAGACTTTAAAAAATAACAACTTCTAATTTAAGTCAACTTAAAACAACCTTGACGTAAACCCATTTTAATAAATGTCATATTTACCTGTACCTTTCAGGAAATAAAAAATATACAGATATTGAAAAAAGTTATCACTAAACTCTAAATTAATTATAGATTAATTCTTAAAGCTACAAAAGTTATTGATTTCCTCTTTTTTCTTTTGTTCTTTGATGAACAGACATCATAGCAGCTGGGTTATTAGGTTATTTGGCTGCTATTTAATATGAAATGATGCAGGCTACAGCGTATTTGTGCATGCAATTGAAGAGCATGCGCTACGAGCACAGTATAACAGTTGACATGACAGAGAGATACGGTTTTACTGACATATGGCCTGACAGCATCTCATCTGACCGCAGTTCACTGATGTTCTACTGAAACTCCTCGTCATCTGTACCTTTTCCTCACTCGTTGATTAGCGCTCCTGAAAATTCTCCTGTTTGATGTGTTCATAAAGACATGCTGTGTCTAAATAAATGCAATTCTTGTCAAGAAAAAAAGAGACAGAAGCAGCAGTTGTGCGTGGGGTTGCCAACCCTAGCTCCGCCCTGCGTTAACTGTGTTAAGTATTTTTAACGCTGTTAAACTGGAAAAAAAAACCTGCCTGCGTTAACATGCTAATTTTGACAGCACTAATAGTAAAATTGAATGTTTAGACAATAAAGTGGTTAATATAATAATTAGTATAAAATATTTCTCACCTGCAGTATAAATTTTAACTGAGACTGGAGAGAGAAACAGGGTGAGATAAAGAGAAGTTAGAGACAGCATAAGCACTATGAATATATAAATGAATATAGAATTGTAATTTTGACAAATGACAATTCTATATTCATTTACTCATCCTTAAGTTATTCCAAAATTGTATGTTGTAATTGTTTTGGTGGAACACAACAGGCCAATTTTCGAAGAATCTTTACGCTGCTCTTCTCTGTGTAAAACAGTTCATAGCATGTAATTTAGGTCAACTATTCCTTTAAACCTGAGCTTCCAAATCATCCCTGGAAAAGAGAAAATGGGTGTGTGCTGATCACTGTTATTTATATTGGAAACATTTGAAACAATCCTAAATAACTTCATCAAGCACTGTTACATCATCTGAGTCTTATAGCTGCTTTGTACTGCTCTCCCCACTGGGCACACACTCACACAGGCTCACATGATTACAATAAACTCTGTGTTCCCAAGAGATTTAGAAAAACTAATCAGCCATCATATAAACAAAGAGCACAGCTACATAATCCCCCACCCCCAGCTCTGTTCTTTCCCCCCTTCCCTCTTTCATTCTTTTTCGCTCTCTCCTACCCGGAATGAAAGAGGACAGGACAGTTCTGTGATTGAGTGGCTGGGTGGTGCGGTAGTTATCCTGGAGAGCCATGGGCTCTGCCTCTTCTTCTTTACTGGAGTACAACACTGTTTGCAATTTCATCAGCTGAGAAGAGAAGAGAAGAGAAGAGAAGAGAAGAGAAGAGAAGAGTGTGTCAGCCATGTAAATGACATACAGTTCAGCCATGAAACTCTATATTTCACAAGCTAAAGGGTTCTTTATATATAAAATTTCAGTGAGATTGCATGCTCCCTACCTATACATCTAAGCCAAGACTGTAAATATACCAAGACAGTTCACTCATATTTACTTGAATAGGGGGAAAAAACAATGTGCATTGCACAATATGACGAACTCTTGCATTCTATATATTATAGAACCATTTGCCAAAACTGGTAATGCATCGTGTTACTACAGCTGCCATGATGACTATACATATGCATTGGTTGGACCAAACTGAAATATACATTATTTGAGCATAAGAAACAACATTTATCGGAGAGCTCATGACAGATTTTTATTTTGAAATATGGTATGTTATTTAAATATGAGTTTGGAAAACTGTTTTTGAGATTTCAGAAATTCCTCATTCCCCACGAACTGCTGAATATGAGAAGTTTGCATCGCTTTTACTAAGACGCTTTGTACCTGTGAGTGAGAGATTTTAACTCTTTCATTGAAGATAGTCCAGAGGACACTCTGGTGGCAGGGAGGAGTGGTGAGCGAGCCGTTATAGCGGAAATATTGGCTGAGGTTGTCAGGCAGCAGCAACTTTATATCAAATGCAGGTATAGCCACCTTCTGGCCTAGAATAAATTAAACCAATATAAAAAAAATTATTTACAAAGTAATCACAAAAGGCTGAAGCACGATAATCATACACGTGTACACATACACGGACATGCACACAAACACATGCCTGCATATCTGATGTGGCCCAGATAGTTAAGAATACTGCCATATCCTTGATTAATCTCCTCGCCTGCCTGAGAAAGCAAACAACTGAATGAGATACAGATAGAAATTTATAAAAAAAAACATAATATTATGTGGATATTAATATGTTTAGAGTAAAAGCAAAGAACTCACCTCAATTAGGATTGCCAACACAGCCAGGCCATTCTCCTGGGTCTTAGCTTCTGACATATTAGCATAAATCTCTGTATTGTAATGGACAATATGGAGCTGACAGAAATGAAAGAGAGTGTCTTTGAGTTATAGGCATCTTACAGAAGACAATTTTCACTGAATTCTTTGTTAATAGCTGATTATATGGGAATGCCCCCAGATGTGTTTTTATTGTCTAAAACCTTAATAGGAACACAACATTTTATTGGCTGACGGCACTGTTGTGGCCCCTTGAGGCACTGCGTCACCAGTGTCTCATAAGGAAGTGTCTGTACCTTCTGTCAGGATCATGGACCTGTTTTGTTATGTTTTGCCCCTGTTTCTGTTACTGTGTTCCCTTATTTGGTCATGTTCCTGTCCTCGTTTAGTTAATTAGTCATTCTGTGCACCTGTGTTTGGTAATTGTCCTGTGTTTATAAGTTCTTGTCTGAGCATTTCTCCTCTGTCGGGTCTACTTGTTGTGAATGTCATCCTTGTGCTCTGTGTCTCCCTATTGGATCATTAAAAGACTCTCGTTCTGAGAAATCTCCACGTCTCCTCATTTCGTTGTGCCCGTTCTCCAGCAAATTGTGACAGAAGACCCGACCAAATACAGTTACCTCCGTGTGTCTACCCTTCGTGTTTGTTTCCGTTTTTTCTCTCAGTGTTTTTGTTTCCGTTGTGTTTCCCCTTATGGATCCCTTCACCCGCCCGGAATTCCTCCTCCTCCTGCTGGAGCAGGGGGAACGCTCGCTCGGGGACCATACCAGATTGTTTCTGGCTCTCGCCGAACTTACCAGCTACCCAGACGACGCGCTCTGCGTGTTCTATGACGCCAGCCTGAACACCGCGTGCAGAGCGCCGTCGTCCGAAGATGGTCCTCGAGC